TGCTAACATATAGAAAATTAATTGAAGACATTTCATAGATACATACAAACTATACATATTCATAGGGTACTATATGATATTTCAATGCATGTACCTGATGTCTATTGATCAGTCTAGGATAGTTGGTCTACCCATTATATTGAATGTTTATGCTTTCTTTGTGTAGAAAATATCTAAATCATTTACCAACTATCATGTAGTATTTGGTTATTGCCAGGCACAAACATTCTACTGTACTGTAGATTAGACATCATTTCTGCCCAGCCACACCCCGTACCCTTTTCCCCATCTCTGTCCTGCCCCCCTCAGCCTCTGGTAGCCAGTATTCTATTCTCTACTTGTATAACATTAACTTTTGAAACCCCCACAAATGCATGCAAATGTGTATTTTTTTTTATTGTAGGGTAACTGGTTTGTTGAGCTCAACTCTTTCCAGATCTGTCCACATTGCATGCATTGTGGTTTCATTCTCATTGAAGACAAGTTCAGCAAAATGAAAAGTGATCAAAAATTCCTTCTTGCCTTTGCCTCAGGTGCTTGAGGCTCTCCAGCAACCTGTGTTTTGTTTGTAAATCTCTGCCAGAGGGGAACCTGCATGTTTATGCACCCAGGTATATGAGGGTGATAACCTCAGAGGGGAACCTGCAGGTGTTTATACAGCATTCATCCAGGTGTCTAGGGGTGATAACCACAGAGGGGAACCTGCAGGTGTTTATGCAGCATCCAGGTGTATGAGGGTGATAACCTCAGAGGGGAACTTGCAGGTGTTTATGCAGCATTCATCCAGGTGTATGAGGGTGATAACCTCAGAGGGGAACCTGGAGGTGTTTATGTAGCATCCATCCAGGTGTATCAGGGTGATAGCCACAGAGGGGAACCTGCAGATGTTTATGTAGCATCCATCTAGGTGTATGAGGGTGATAACCTCAGAGAGGAACCTGCAGGTGTTTCTGCAGCATTCATCCAGGTATATGAGGGCGATAACCACAGAGGGGAACCTGCGGGTGTTTCTGTAGCATCCATCCAGATGTATGAGGATGATATCCACGGAAAACTTTGAGACTGAGTGAAGTACAAGTTCAAAGGCTGGAGGTTCTCCTGTCTCTTATTCGGGTGCTCCTTGCTGAAGTGCCTAATGAAAGGGAAGCCTAAAGTCTTAAGTGCAGCTCAGCATTTCTAAGAAAACCAGTTCCTGTGCATGCTAAGTGGGCTGCTTGCTCCTACTGATTGAATGCACCTTGGTATTCACCAGAAAAGCACAGCCACTCTTATTCAGGATACAGACATCACTGGAGTTATAGCTGACTAATGTTCTTGGATCTAAATAAGGAAGGGATTACAGGCATTTTAATTTACAGCCTTGGGTTTTACCCACTAAGTTCAAGGGATTTCAAGAGAAACAATTACTTGACAAAGGCATTCAATGGCAGTAAAAATTTCTGCCTCTCTGACTTAAGCAACTGAAAAGCTGGGCTGTTCCTCCTTTGAGCATTTGCACACTTCCTGGCTTATTTGGAGCTGGTAGGATAAGAGATCAAAGATGACTAAAGATCCTGTACTGAGTCCGATGAATGTTAGATGAAAGTTGGGTGCCATTTATTGGTTTCTTTTGTAACTGGAAAGAATATGTCATTCACCTGGTTGAATCAAAGCTTAGCAACAGTGTCTCTTGTATTTTTTGGATGAGAATATAGGTATTTGGCTATCCTGCAGCAAAGAGAATCATACTTGGTAACAGCTCAAAGGTCTTCCTTTGGGCCATCTGGCCTCTAGGATTGGGGAAGCCACTGTCTTTGCTTCAATGGGGTCCTATTTGTTCCATGGTTTTGGATTTATTGGTAGAGAGGCCAAGATGCTGGACACTGTCATACCCATCCCCACCTCCTTTGTGTGTAGGTGTGTGCTAATACCTGAGGATCTTTTGCTTTAGCATAGAGGAAAAATAAACTTTTCTTAGCTTTGCTTGGAGTCTGTCCTCTCTCTTGTCACTTGTGATTAATGCCATGGGCCAGCATGAGGCCAACACCTCAAGGATGCTGCTGATGTGACGTTAAACACTTACTTCAGCTTGATTTTCTATTGAAACCAGTTTCTGTAAGTTCAAGGAGCGCCCTCATCACCAGTGAAGGCTGCATCTAAGCTGTTACTTTGAGAAGAGCTCTGCCTGCTCTTATTCAGTGTGTTTCTGCCGCTGGCCTTGACGCTTGGTTCTCAATTATGACTCTCAATCCTTAGTCTCCTGTAAAGAAGCATGAAGGAATAAGAGGAAAAGCAAAAGCTTGGTAAAATAAACTCCTGTGACAACAAGTGGCCAACCATTCTTCTATTGCATGGTGTTTCCTCAGAAACACTCTTGGGACACAGCAAAGAAAAGAGGCTTCCAACGCGGGGAGGTCTATGGAGGACAGGCAGGATTCCAAGAATGGCTCCCTTTCCAAAAAGCAGGAATTGGTAAATGACTCAATTTGCATATCATGCCTGGAACAAGACTTGATTTCTTCATCAATAGGACAGGAGAAATAGCTTTTACCTAGCCTGTTCTATGTAAATATTACTGAGATTACATTTGCATGCATTTGTGGGGGTTTCAAAAGTTAATGTTATACAAGTAGAGAATAGAATACTGGCTACCAGAGGCTGAGGGGGGCAGGACAGAGATGGGGAAAAGGGTACGGGGTGTGGTTGGGCAGAAATGATGTCTAATCTAATGCTCAGCTTTGTGTCCAGTAAGAGACTCTGAGTGGCAGAATCAGTGCACCACAGACAAGACACATCTGTCTATTCTTACACTTGGTTTCCCTATTTACACCTCCTACTTAGAAACCCATTATCTGTAGGTCTGGGTCTTATTTCTGTCCTGACTACTAATTCCTAGTGGTTCCCTTTGATGGTCCCCCCAATAGCTGTATATTGCTTGAGCTTATGGACAGTCAGTGGCTTTTGAAGTTAATCTGAGTTAGAATTCATAGAATCCTTAACCTTTAGAACTTTATTTGAAAGATAAGGGAGAGGAAGTCTAGGGAAAGTATTTAATGTTCTCACTAAGTCATGCTATTTTCCAAATATGGATTTCTGGATTGTCAAGATTGTTTTACACACATATACACACAATTGTTTTATACACAAAGGGTTTATGAGTCCTTTGAGCCTAGAAGGGCAAACCTTGGGATGTGGACTGAAATGAGATCCTTTCTGAAGGGGAGAAAGATTTTTAATGAGATGGTTAAAAGTTGTGTGGTCTTGTTCAGGAAGACCAGTTCTCTATTTCCAGAATAGAATCTAGCCCACTTATAAACAAATGTGAGGCAGCCTGGGTAAAAATCCTTGTGGACCACAAACATCTGCAGAAATATGTTGTTTTCTATAATCACCACAACAGTTATATGAATATCTGTGTGTGCATCGTAGTAACTAGTGTGCTAAAAATGTCATTTGTACAAAGCTGAACCTTCATGTAAGTATTTTAGATAAGGTTTGATTTACAGCCATCAGGAGTAGAGAGTCTCAGAATCTTGTATCTTGAGGTTAAGAATGGGGAAAGAACACCCCTGGGACTCTGCTGTCCGGGAGTCTCTGCCAACCCCTCTGGTACTGAAAGCCCCTTTCTCCTAGGGAGTCAGGACACATTGTCTTTGAAGGGCTGATTGTACAGAGAAGGGCAGGTCACAAGCCACCTGCTTTCTGAGTCTTGGTGGATATTAACCGGATTGATTGCTGGGGTTACCTACTCTATATATGTAAAGAAGTAAGCACAGTCCTGATGCCTTGTGATATAGCCATATGTAGCATGCAGGCCCGGCACTGAGTGTCAGCGAAAGGGAGGTCTTTGGATGACACAGGTGGCAGTGGCTTCCAGAACTGTGCAGAAAGTGAAACAGAGGCAGTATATAGATCAGACTGAGCAAGAGCCACAGTCAGTCTCCTGTTGGCTGAGGGCTTAGGTGGGGATAATACAAACACACAGTAGAAGAGGCTAGGGCCCTTGCTTGTAACCCTGGTGCCACCACCACCTACCCAGGAGACCTGAAGAAGAATCTCACTGGTTCTCCATTTTTCTCATTTCATGTGCACATGAGCGTGTGTGTGTGTGTGTGTGTGTGTGTGTGTGTGATAGCTATAGCCCCGCCCTTCTGTTTATTGTATCTCCTGCCTTGAAGAAAAGTATTTTATTCGGTGTGATTCACGTCAACCGTGCCAAATCTGAAGGAAGATAGCCAGGCTTAAGAATAAGTCTTAAGGACAATTCACTTTCCTCACTTCCTAGGGTCTTTTGAGATGAGAATCCAGAGAATACGTGGGTACGAAAGTACTATATAGACGGCAGCAGATCATGGCTTCATCTCCTCCAGTTTTCTAAGGAGTAGGCTCCATAGAAAGTCTAGACTATGAAAGAAATTCCTTTCCTTTTACAGAGTATTCACAGAACATTCTTTTGGCCACAGCAAAGGAAAATAAAATCAATAATGCTATATTTTATAAAAGATGGAAGTTGTGCGTGTTTGACTTGGAACCTTTTATCGTCTTTCTCGGGTTCTCAGGGGGAGATAAAATTACCGAGCTACTTTTTGCATTAAGAAGGAGGAATTAGCGGGCCTGTTTGTTTCTTTTTGTTTTCTATAAAAATATACACTCTTTTTCTTTCTAAACTCCCGAAGTCAGCATTGAGAGTGGCATAGAAAACCTTCTGGGCTGAGTTTAGCTAAATCATTTTATTGCAGATTAAAGTCAAAGGCTCATTCCCCTACGGTGATGTGTATTCAGATGATACTGACTCCGGATGTTTATTGCTGTCTAGGGGTGAAGGTGGGGGAGGAGGGTCAGGAGGGCTGGGATGTCCTTGTCCTTACGTGTAGTTTTTCTCTTCCACATGGCCATTACAGTTGAAGGGCTGGGAGAGTGTAGGTAGCTGTTGGGCATGGGAGGGTAAGAAGGAATTTGCTTCCATTTACCAAGCATTGCAGGAAAATCCCTGTTACTGATCTTTGGCCTCTGCTTTTCAGATCAGACTCCAACACCCACGAGATTCCTGAAGAACTGTGAGGAGGTGGGTCTCTTCAGTGAGCTGGACTGCTCCTTCGAGCACGAGTTCAGGAAGGCTCAAGAAGAAGAGAACAGCAAGCGGGTAGGTGGGCCTGGGTGGACCCTAGAGGTGTGGGTCCCCAGCGTCACGTGGAACATGTCTGGCACTGCAATCTATATCGAGGTGTTCTTAATGTACAATGCCCAGACTCAGTCTCCCCGTGAGGCCTGTTTGTGATAGTGTTTTAATGTATTTGTGCGTGCCTTGTCAACCTTTTTCTTTTAAAGTGATCTATCTCAGCACACAGAGCTGAGGTTCAAGTATCTGAAACATGGAATTCAAGCTTTAGAAAAATATGACCTATTTATTCTTAAAGCCGTGTCAGATAAACCACCTGCACACAGATTTTTTTTTTTCTTTGCTAAGTATTTAACAACAGATCTTATATAGGCAGTGTGTTCAAAAAAGACCAGGCCAAAAGGGCAAGAACAGGTGATTCATCAAATGGCAGGAAACAGGATTTTCGTCTGATTTGGACCCTGCTGACAACTCTCTGTTTTCCATGATCATTGGTTGTTTTCTACCAGATGCGAAATCACTTTCTGGTCACTTTCCCTGGTCAGGCCACTGAGCATAGGTTGTTGGTGAGTGAGGCACACAGAGTAACTACAACTGTGGGTCACTTCACAAAATCCTTCAGAGGTTTTTTTTTTTTGTTTTTTATTTTTCTTGTCCATATTATTGTGGTAGAATTTTAAAAGCTACTAACAAGATAAGCAAAGGAGGTAGGGTCACGGGTAAATTTGACAAGTGTGCTTTTCATGAATTCTTTGTTACTGTCACAGGATGTCACCGAGGGCACAGTGTACTGAACATGCTAGACACAGTCCCTGGACAGAAATGCAAAATGTCGAAGATGGTTTAAAGGGTCAAACAGCTAGGTGGCAAGGAAACCTTGAAAGGAACTTTTAAAAGGCTCTGATATGTTTCTACCTGCTTCCAAGCCTCTGGCTCTTCCTCTGTGGGAAATGACAGTAATCCCTCTCCGTCCAGATTTTTGTGTCACATGCATATGTTGGGCTCGCTCAGGGCAGGCTCATGGTGACCAGGCTGCGTTGCTTTAGCAAAATGCGTGACATTTATAGGAGGAGCACAAAATCACAGTCATCCCGCTTTATGTATAACTATAACTTTATTTATACTAGTCCTTCCCTCTCCTGCCCCCACTTTTCCAGATGTCTTCATATCTGTTGTTCTTTGCTGGGCAAATCACTTTCAGAAACACATCACAAAGTCTAGAAGACACAACTAGATTTCATCGGGGTACTTACAAACTTTAAAACCCCACGAGAATAACAAAAGAGAATCCGGGAGTCCCATTCAGTAAATTCCCTCTGCTGGAGTAATGAGCTTAGTTCTTTTGATCGATTTGCATTTGTAGAAGACTGTTTGAGGAATCAGTGTCATTCATTTTCCCCAAGACAGTCGAAGTGGGTTTCTTTGATTATGATAAAGACGTGGGTGTGGTCAATGCTATCTTCATATTCCTTGCGGTAGAATGGTGGTAAGCCCATGCCCTTGATTTTCCCAAAGATCTTTTCCCCCTGACAGGTTCTGTACAGCCTCTGCTGGGGGTGTGGCTGTAGGCGTGCTCCTGGTGAGTTATTCATGACTCTCCATGTGACGCCGGCCGCCTCCTGCTAGCAGTTCTTGCAGATCTGAATTCCAGGAAATGGTTTGCTTCCCCTGAGGAACTTGGACATTTTTCTGCTGTGGCTAGGAGAAGCCTGTACCGCTTGTGTTTCTCTTTTTGCTCTGCCTGCTGGATTATCACAAAGCCAAGGGTACTGCTTAACTTGGAGAGCGCTTTAGACCACTATAGTGAGTAACATTTTACTTCCTCCATCTACCAGACTTTCAGTTCTAGTTTATATTTCCTCTGGTCCTCATTTCCAATTAAACAAAAAATATTTTCACGCTATACATATTTGGTGAATTGCCTTCAATCTCTCGTAGGCTGAGAAGACATGAACTCATTAAAACTTAAAAATTACATAATGAAATAAGCAACACCAAGCAAGAGTGCTGTGGTAAATGGCAGGATCATGTTTTTCTCGTGTTCATGTGTTGCTCATTGCCGTGGGATTGCTCATGATGGGTGTGAGGGAATGACCGCAGACAGGCCCTCCAGGACACCACTGCAAGCACTGGGAACCAGGCAGCCTTCAGCTTGCGGAGGCTCCCTCTTGTTCTGTTTGGTTCAAACCAGAGGGACCAAATCCAGCCTTGGGTGGCCATCACCACAGGAGGGGACTTCTCCCCAGTGACTAATGCACTGTGACTCACTCCCAGCAAAGTGGCTGTGTTGGTGGTGGCTTACCCGCTAGCAAGGTTTTAGCAGCACTGGGCGGGGAAGGCACAGAAGCATCAATGTTCCCGATCTGAAGGTGTGCTTTCGCCTCCCTCCAAGATGGCTGTTCTCCAGCTACTAGCATCCCTGTAGCTCCCGCTTCACTTATTCTTTTGCTGCTTAGAAAAAGTAGGGACAAAGTCCACACTCGCAGAGTTCTGTGTTTTCCGATTATCCTCTCCTTCTGCCCTTTTGCTATCCATTCAGGTGCTGATGCATTTTCAGGAAGGTTTTTCTTCCCAGGGTTCAGGGGAGGCCTAGGGCTTCATGTATGACAGATAAACATTCTGTCACGGGGTAGATCCCTAACTCCAATTATTTCCCTTTCATTCTAAACCTCAACTTTTTATGATTTCTTTACCCGAGACTCCTTTCCCTCCCTTTTTTCCCTCCCTCCTTTCCCCCTATGTAGTACACATGTGGTCATGTGGGTAAGCATGCCATGCTTGGATTTCATGTGGGTACGGGACATCTGAACTCAGGTCTGCATGCTTGCATGGCATCTCCTCAGCCCATTCTTGACCTGAGTCCTCAAATACAAAAGTACTTGCATTGCTTCATCAGTAGAAATGGATGAAATGGAAGATGTTTTCACTAGGTTAGAGAACTTGATTTAAATGGTCCTGGGCTTCACCTGTAGATTCCTACCTGTAGGGTTGGAAAATTCAGATTAGAGGCAAATAGAGAATGGATTCTTACTAGATTAGATTTAGATTCCCATTGAAACAATTCTGGTTTTTTGTTTTTGTTTGTTTGTTTTAACTCTGAATTTGATTCTGACTTCCTTTTCCAAAATAATCTTAGCATGTATAAGGAATGAAAGGTTACGTCAGGTCATGACCGGGCAGCAGATAACAGACTCCAACATTACCTCTATTTCTGATACTAAGTATTACTCATTGCCTCGTAACTCTTCCGAGGGAAATCCCAGATTGAGAGAGGGTTATAGCTCTCTAGTAAGCATCACAAAGCTCGGCTTGCCCATGGCTTAGAACTCAGAAGCCTGTACTCCAAAATGCATAACTTTTTCATCAGCCTCCATTCATAAAATGTTTTAGGGTCATCACAATACATCAAGTACTGTCCAAGTCACCAATGAAGATGCCAACGAATATAAATGATCAGAAAAACAAGCAAGCATTAAAACACCTCAGTCTTCAGATACCTAACTTTTAATGGACCAGACAGATCACACACCAGTGAAAAATGCCCTTGGTAGGCAGGTGCTATGGAGTTATAGTCCACGGTGGGCAGGTGCTGTAGACTTATCCCCACGGTGGGCAGGTGCTGTGGACTTATCCCCATGGTGGGCAGGTGCTATGGAGTTATCCCCACGGTGGGCAGGTGCTATGGACTTATCCCCACGGTGGGCAGGTGCTGTGGAGTTAATGCAGCTGTGAGGGAGTTCAGAACGGGCTGGGTGAGGGCAGAGAGGGCATCCCAATCCTGTGAGCTCAGAGACTCAGGAGAAGCCTGAGAAGGCGACCTGAGCGAACAGAGAAAGGATGCGTAAAGGCCTGAGGCCAGGTGGTGGGATGCATGTTGGAAAAGTTCTGAAGAGAAAGAAGTACAGCCGCGGAAGCGTGTGTGAGAGAGCTCGGTGTGGGGAGGCAGGCCCAGGAGGGCGCTGCAGGCCATGTGAAGGGTTCGGTTTTGACAATGACTCAAAACGAGATGGGGAACCATAGGGCAGTTCTGAGCAGAGAACTGACAGGGCCTGATGCAGTGCTTTAGAAAAGTCATTTGACTGTTGAGTGGAAAGCCGGTGGTTGGAGGCAGAAAAATGAAAGACATCTAGGCGGATGTTGGTAGTATATTTGCCTAAAACAGAGATGGAGGACGTGGCTGGGATCTAAGTATATTTTAAGGACAAAGGTGATAGATAGTTTTGCTGGTAGAATGTATTGACAGCAACAGGAAGGGGAGACTCAAAAAGCTCCTGGGTTTTCCACTTGTGCTACTGGAGGGATGGAAGAACAGGGTTAGAGAAGGTTGGTGTTGGACTTCATGAGACTGAAGGGACTCACTTCTGACAGGAATGTGTGTGAAGGTGAGGTCTAAACATGGAGCTGGAAGAGTTGTCCAGCTCTTTCCAGTTCAGACTTCATTCAACCCTGCTCAGAGGAAACTGAGGCAGGAAGAACAAGATGGAGGCCCAGCTCTTTTAGAGATTCTGAGGAGGAAATTGGGGTATAGATTTTGCGGTCCAAGTCAGAAGAAGGTTTTTGTTGTTGTTGTTGTTGTTTTTTAAAGAAAAAGAATGAGCTGGGTGGTGGTGGTGCACTCCTTTAATCCCAGCACTCGGGAGGCAGAGGCAGGCAGATCTCTGTGAGTTCGAGGCTAGCCTAGTCTAAAAAACCTGGTTCCAGGACAGGCTCCAAAGCTACAGAGAAACCTTGTCTCAAAAAAAAGAATAAATTATGAATAGTCTTTCACATTTAATTCATTTTTAGAAAAGACCGAATAACACGCAACAGACATGTATTCCATTAACATAACAACAGCTTTGCACATGGGTGCACACATAGTTTTTGCATGGATGTGAGCACACGGCTTTTGCACATGTTTGCTGTCTCCTACCCCTCCCATTCTCTTTCTCTCAATCACAGGGGCTAGAAATGAAATCCTTTGTCTTACTGAGAGAAATATAACATTACAGCCTAACATGGCTAAAGACCCCACAGATAAGAAA